CTTCTGTTCATGTGGTGTCTCCGGTAATAAGTGATCTGCTCCCTGACCTGCCCTTGGTGTCTCCAGGCTTCTCTCACTGTGTGGTGGATCATCCTTCGCTTCATGGGCGATATTCCTGAACCAAGACAGCGGGCTCCTGAGAACAAGGGTCTTGGCAGTCTGGGAGAAAGGTCTATTCAGGAAAAACTGGGACAACGGCAAGGGCGACGTCTCAGCCACCTGGTTGGGCTAGATCAGGTATCTTCCCTGGACTACTGTACTGTAGGTGCACAGTGTTGCATCTTGTTCCTAACAGTTAATAACTGTTAATAAAGAACAGCTACCCAGTCTTAGTTGCCTCAGATCCATAATTTTTTTACCCCATACTCTCATCTTGTTAAAAATTATTCCACTAGATGCATTTTTATGTCCATTATGGCGGCTTTCGACAAGAAAATCTACTTTCAAGTTTGTGGACAATTGTTTTTTTTTCTTCACCACACCACATTGAGGGACACACTGCTTAATGGAAAGGTACGCCCAGTACCTGAATTTTTACAATTAACATCAATACAAAAATCCAATTTGCTTTCTAGAAACTTCTGCGAAGAAACAAAAAAGCTGCAAAGTCCTCAGGCGGGACTCGGAACAAAAGGCAGTCTGTAGTGCAGGAGGAGGTGAGAAAAACGTTTTTATTCACAGATTTGATGAAGATATTCCAAAAAAAGCATTAATTATTCTTCAGAGCTGCTATTTTTTTATTTGGCTATATTATATTTTATTAGCACTTAGTTGCTGGATCTACCCTTATGACCTCATTGTTTTTCATTTTCATTTCTCACTACACTACATTCATGTATCAGTGAAAAGGAAGAGCTGAGCATTTATGCGACAATGACATTTCCTGCTTACTTTCAGCCAGTGCTGCAGCCTCTGAAGGAAGAGGATGATGTGCTGGTGGGAGAAGGACCTACTTTGGATCGACCAATGACTGCCCTGGAAAAGTTGCATTTCATTGTAGGCAATGGCATTGTCAGACGAAACATCAGGTACTGAACAGGAACAGTAAAAGTAATATAGGTATACATATGTACATTTAAATGCTTATAGGAAAAAGGATAGGTTTTTATAACATATATAATGTTATAAAATATAATATCACATCCCCGGGTTAAAAAAACGCTTATCCAATTCAGGGTCACAGTAGCAAGGAGCCTTTCACAGGAAACTCTTGGCCCAAGGAAGGATACACGCTGGATGGAACATCAGTCTATTGCAAGGCACACAAAAACAGACGCACACACACTCGTATAAGGGCCAGTTTTCCCAGAAGCCAGCATGTCTTTGGACTGTGGTACGAATCCAGAGCACCAGGTCAAAACCCATGCAAACAACGGGCAGTACATACAAACACATATCACACCCCAGCTCCAGAACTGATCCCAGCTCTGCAAGGCAGCAGTGCTAACCAATGTGCCACCCTAAAATAAAATTATATTATTAGAATTAACGCACATGCTGATGCAAGGCGCTGCTTATACCTCCTTAACATAACTATAGTTAACCAAAAAGATATTATTGTTTGGAAATATTGATGTGCTTTATTGTAATAAAAACACAGGTACACTGCTGTTGTAGAAAAATTAAGATGTGTTCTGAAAGTATGGTAAATGCTGGTAGTTTGTTTAAGGGCGTTCTGCAAATAATAGACACACTTAGGGGTCTAAGAAGAGGAAACGGAATTTATAAGGATGTGAGGAATCAATAATGAGCAGTATTGTCCAGACGTATTCCCTGGTTGCTGTTTTTTGGAATGAGATGGGAGCAATTGCTGGCAGAAATGGCTGACGTTTTTTTGGAATAAGATATACTGTGTAATTCATATGCTTGGAGCTATTGGATTTTTGTCTCCCAGGGATGAGATCTACTGTCAGATCTGCAAGCAGCTAGTGGAGAATGGGAATCAAAGCAGCTACTTCCGTGGCTGGATTCTGCTCTCCTTATGTCTTGGAATCTTCCCTCCTTCTGAACGTCTCAGTAAGGTGAGCTAAGGAGAGTGCTGGAATGACTTTCCCAGAATCCCGATACACCATGTTCCTATTAATCGGCTGGAGGAAAGGCTTCCCTTTGTCGGTGTTGACTCCTGGTGCATCGTTCTCTCCTGTCTGTCCACAGTACCTCTTGAATTTCATTCGCTCTGGGCCTGCAGGCTACGCACCCTACTGCGTTGAGAGACTACGTCGTACTCTGACCAATGGAGTGCGTGGTGAGCCACCTACCTGGATGGAGCTGCAGGTAAGGGAAATGTGTTTCTGTGTGGGGACATATTTATTTGAATTCTGGATTCTACACAGCATTTTTCAAAATATTTCTTTATTAGAGGCATCAATATCATTTCAGCGTTTTTGGTCACAACAGTTTTTGCCTTATCATTTATTTCTTTAGCTGTGTAAGACCTTTTGCATCTAAAAGTACATTAACAATCACAAATAAATAAACATACAAATATCTCTTCACTATCTTGGATTTCTTGGAGACTTGGATTGGTTTTAATCTGGTTTGTTGGTATCACAGGAGCAGTTCTGTTTTTTATTAATTTTGGTTTTATCAGATTTTAGTTACTTATTTATCCTTTTTTAAGTTGTAGGTTTAAATAAGTTTTAGTTACTTATTTATCATAGCTTTAACAAGAAAACATACATGTTTTTTTATTTTGTTTATTTTAAGTTTATTGACAGGATAAAACCCCTCGAGATGCATCATCTCATTTTCAAAGGGTTGCTTTTAGAATACATACTGTATGTGTGTGCACAAAACTGATCGACAAAATGCAACACAAATATCACAAAACAGCAAAAATAAAAAAATACAAATTATACATCTGTCATGCGATGACAGCTGATAAGTATGATTATTTAAATTACAACAGCATTCTGTTTTTTAAATATAGAATTAGTGTGTTTTAAAATCTCCAAAATTGAACTCATTGTGTTCAGAGCTTTTTAGCTGAATTCCTTCCAACCTCATAATAGACCCGGGTAACCTTAAAATATCTCTGCTCAGACTGCGTTAAAGAATAACCTGTATTTGGTATTGACAGAAGTTCTTTTAACTTATAATAAATACATTATTTTGAAAGGCAACCAAGACCAAAAAGCCAATAGTGGTGTCTGTGACCTTGATGGATGGCCGAATGATGAGTGTACCCCTGGATTCAGCATCTACTGCTCAAGAGGTCTGCAAGTTCATTGCCCAGAAAATAAAGCTGAGTGACATCTTTGGATTCTCAGTCTACATTGCCATCTATGAGAAGGTAACATTCTTTTTTGATATTTTTGATCCCTTGGGTCACCAGCACTTATATGTCTACTCATAACAGCATAGCAGAAATGATACTGTTGGGAATGTAAAACAGGAAGTTGTAAAACAGGAAGGCTGCTGATTATTGATTCTTACTCAGTCAACAGAAAGCGTGTATTTTGAATTTTTGATGGTTCAGTTCATCCTGAAACTTTCTAAATGACAACCAGTTAGTTGGTTCAGCTGGTAATACCTTCTTCGTAGGATTACTTTTACGTTTTAAACCAAAGATTCTTTCCATTAGCTAGCATTTTTATTGTTGTAGCATTTTGGTCTGTTCAAAGTAGAATTTTCTTAAGTGCAAGGAGTTGATTTGCACTTGGAGGTCTTTGATGCGGTGTTAAAGGTGCTCTCGGAAAGACTTGAGGACAGTGTACAGTATGTGCGTTTGGCTTATGCAGGTGTGGTCACTGGGCGGCGGTAAGGACCATGTACTGGATGCCATATCTCAGTGCGAGCAGGAGGTGAAGAGGCAGGGCGGTCAGGAGCAGCATGCCCCGTGGCGCCTATATTTCCGGAAGGAGATTTTCACCCCCTGGCACGACTGCAGCATAGATTCCACTAGCACCGATCTCATCTACAGGCAGCTGATCCGTGGCATCAGATCTGGGGAGTACCAGTGTGACAAGGCAAGGCCATTATTCCCCTTATCTCTTTTCATTTTGCTTTAGAGGTATGCAGACTCTTTTGACAGATAAACTAAGGGCTGAGTAGAAGGTTATCAAATTAACGGTTCTGGAATTTGCTGAGCACCTAATTGAAATTGTGTGGCCTGCCGAGCAGAGGAACGAATAGTTGATATCTGATTCTAGCAATCTCAGATATGTTGTACAGTATGTCACGTAGAAGAAATAGGAATCTGGTGATTGGTGATTTCATTTGGAGAGTTTTTTGCTTTCACCCAGGAAGATGACATGGTCCAGCTTGCTGCAAAGCATTTTTATGTGCAGTTTGGGTCAGACAGTGGTGGGGACAATGCTAAGAAAGTGGTTCAGGACTGCATCAACAACTCTCTACTGGAGGCCAAGTCAGAAGCCAAGTGGATACAGCTGGTCGGTGATGCATATACCAAGGTAAGGAATTAGCCTCCTCTGGTGTCCAACCCAACTTTTGTTTGCAATTTAAAATTTTGTAACCTGCTTTCATTTCCGTTATTTTGCTTTCAGAGCCCTTACATCAAGACAAAGATTAATCCAGACACTGTCAAAGCAGAAGTCATCGATTTTGGTCGCCACAAATGGCCTTTATTTTTCTCCAGGTTCTTTGAAGTTGTGAAGTTTTCAGGTAACTTTGAAGCCAAAACTTTAAGGAAATCTGTGTCTTTCTGCATCCAGTAAACGTAGCATGTAAAAAAATCGAAATACAGTTAATCTTTCCAAATTTGCAATTTGGTGTAACTTTACAATGTTTAATCCAAGAGGTACAAAGAGTATAACATTGAATAAAAGAGTTTTTAATTATGAATTATGAACCACATTCAGTTAGTTGTACAGTATGTAGGCTTTTAAACAGAGCTTTCCCAGAATTTGAAAACTATATTTTTTCATTTTGTTTCAGCCTCACAAGAAACCTGGAAAATAATTCTTAGATGCTCTATATCATTGTGCGCATTGTGTTATAACTCTTAATTTTCCCACTTTGCAAGGTCCTGCTTTACCTAAAAACACCTTCATTGTTGCCATTAACTGGACCAGCATATCTTTCGTGGATGAAAAGGAGAGGGTGCTCCTGGTGCTGTCTTACCCAGAGGTGGTTGGTGTTAACACAAGCAGGTATAGCAACATCTAACTGCCTGCAGCGACTTACAGGTACAGGCTGAACCACAGAAAGACATCTTGAAGACTGGGTTTTGTAATGGAGCAAGTAAAGTAAGATGAGCTGTTGACAGAATGCACATTTACGTTTCCTCAGAGAAATGACTGTGTTTTGTTGCACAGGTCGGAAAAGACACACGGACAAACAGTCACTCTGGCCACGCTGAAGGGTGATTTTGTTCTCAATTCTCCCAACGCTGCCAATATCGCAGACTTGCTGGTCATGTTTCTTGAAGGACTGAAGGAACGGTCACAATATGCTGTGGCTTTGCAGGAAGCCAGTAAGCAGGGTAATAACAACATTATTTTATCTAGTACTTTTAAAAGCAATCATTGCAAAGCACGTCACAATATATTACACCTGCTATAAAATAAAAAAATGCAAACCCAAGAAAAAAAGGAAATGTATAGGGAAGAAAAATTTTGCTCTCTTCGTTTTTTTGTCTCCATACAACCTGGGGACGACCAGGTTTCACTTGTATGAACTGACATCTTGTTCTTCATTAGAGCTGATCAATCAGTCGTTTGTAACAGAGAATCGTGAGGGAAATTTAGAGTAAAAAGAAAGGGATTTGCTTTTGAAACACAGTAGTTTGTTTTTATGTGTGCTTTTTCAGGTCATAATGATCTTTTTCTAATGACATGGGGTAAAACTGATAAAATAATTCTGTAATCTGTATGCAAAAACAATCTTTGATCACCACTTCTATAGGCTACATTAATACAGTGCGAGGGAAAACTATTGCAAGATTCCATTTTAATACAAAGCACTCATAATAAAGCATTCAATTCCATTTAAAGTGTCTAAATACTGTGTGTTCTGGAATGGCTGTAAAATTACAGGACATGCATATTTATAATTTTAGGTGTTATTCC